CCAGAATTCCCCAGCCAGCATGGCTGGCTGGTGAATTCTGGGAATTGAAGTCCACCCGTCTTCAACTTGCCAAGTTGACAAACACTGAGTTAAATGATGTTCAGAAGTTCAGAAGACCAACTTTTGAAATCTTTTCTACTAAATCTTTTCACTGTGGTGACCCCACCAACCTATCCTTCCATCAGTTATAGCTGTATTTATTTATGATTGCCAGTGGATTACGGAATGAAATGCGGCACTACCAATGGCAGCAAAACTAAATTATTTTCCAACTAAACGCGTAACATCTTGTAATTTATTCATCCTTAGGGAGGCTGGTCCAGCTATGTTCTTCCTTTTGTTTTGCTTTTCCCTTGCGTGTCGCGTCACGTTGAAGCACTTCAAGCCAACGTTGCAATCCAGGTGTAAGAATTCGCCTTCTCAGTTATTCAACTCATACTTCGTTGGGAAGAATCCAGACCACGCTGGATTTTTATTTTTGTGCCTTCAAGTCAGTTTTGACTCGTGGCGAAAACTGTCCTTGCCGTTTTCTTGGCAAGATTTTTCAGAAATGGTTTGCCATTGCTTCCTTTCTTTGGCTGAGATAGAGTGACTGGCCCAAGGTCACCCAGTTGGCTTTCATGCCTAAGGCAGGACTAAAACTCACCATCTCCTGGTGATTGGTTTAAAGTTATCCAACTGGCTTTCATGCCTAAGACGGGACTAGAACTCACAACCGCCTGTTGATTGGCCCAAAGTTATCTAGTTGGTTTTCGTGCCTGAGATAAGACTAGAACTCACAATCGCCCGTGGATTGACCCAAAGTCACCCAGCTGGCTTTCATGCCTAAAGCGGAACTAGAACTCACAGTCTTCTGATGATTGGCCCAAAGTCACCCAATAAGCTTTCGTTCTTAAGGCAGAACTAAAACTCACCATCTCCTGGTGATTGGTTTAAAGTTATCCAACTGGCTTTCATGCCTAAGGTGGGACTAGAACTCACAATCGCCTGTTGATTGGCCCAAAGTTATCTAGCTGGCTTTCGGGCCTAAGGCAGGACTAGAACTCACAATCACCTGTTGTTTGGCCCAAAATCACCCAGCTGGCTTTCATGCCTAAAGCAGGACTAGAATTCACAGTCTTCTGGTGATTGACCGAAAGTCACCCAATCAGCTTTCAGGCTTAAGGCAGAACTAAAACTCACCATCTCCTGGTGATTGGCCCAGAGTTACACAACCGACTTTTGTCCCTAAAACGAGACTAGAACTCTCTGTCTCCTGGTGATTGGCCCAAAGTCAACCAGCCAGCTTTCATGCCTAACTAGAAATCACTGTCTCCTAGTCTCTAGCCTGATGCCCTTATTGCTACAATAAACAGAATTATTACCCTTGGAAATTTCCTTACGGCTGTAGAATTTCCACATTTTAAGTGGTAATTTTCCAGTACTTAAATATGTTGCATATTTTTAACAAAATAAAGATAAAGAGCCCTTCAAGTTGAGGCCTTCAGGTTGAGCTTGGCTCCTGGAGAGGACATCTATGGAGTTTTCCAGTGTTGTGGAAGTGCCTGATTTCCTTAGAAAGATTTTCTTACTTCCAGGTTTTACCAACAGGTCGTTCTTAACTTCCCAGGGCTTAGTCACTAAGAGAGCTGGATTAATTCTCCAGTTACGACCACAATTGAGCCCGAAATTTCTGTTGTTAAGCGAGACAGATGTTAAGTGAGTTTTGACCCATTTTACAACTTTCCTTGCCACCGTTGTTAAGTGAATCACTGCAGTTTTTAAGTTGTAAAGCGAGACATGTTAAGTGAGTTTTGACCCATTTTACAACTTTCCTTACCACCGTTGTTAAGTGAATTACTGCAGTTGTTGAATTAGTAACATGGTTGTTAAGTGAATCTGGCTTCCCCCATTGACTTTGCTTGTCAGAAGGTCGCAAAAGGGGATCACGTGACCCCTGGACGCTGCAACCGTCATAAGTACATGCCAGTTGCCAAGCCTCTGAATTTTGATCATGTGACCCCGGGGAGGCTGCAACGGTCATAATGTGAAAAATGGTCATAAAACGCTTTTTTAAATGCCATTGTAACTTTGGTCATTAAACAAATGGTTCTTAAGTCGAGGACTACCTGTATTTTTTTTTCAGAAGATGCTAATTTACACAACTATTCCTGAGCAATGGAGCCTTTTGTCTTTCATTCTGTGCCGAAACTTGGGAAATCCCAACACACAAACACCTCAGATAGGTTTAATTTTCCACTGCCCGGAAAATGATGTTGCCTCTGTAACAGCATTCCGAAATTAAATAAAAATGTAATTCAACTTTGTAAGTGGTTGAAGCCTTTTAGCTAACTCTGAAATCTCAGAATCACCAAGTTGAATTGTCACAAGATTTAATCATTACACATGGTTCCAAGAAGTCTTTTTATTACTGGCACCTGAGGAGTGCCTGCTAAAATGCTTTGGTTTAGCAAATGTCTATGGAGGTTCTCCGTCATCCAGGTCCTGGTTGTCCCAAAGGTGCCCACCCCCCAAAATCAAGCTAGGGCTTATTGTTGGTGTAGGCCTTACTTTCGGGGCTACACGGAATAATCAAAATAAAGTTAAACATTAAAAGCGGAATGATTTGGGATTAACACGTTTTAAATGCTTGATAAAAATACAGAATTGGAGGCTTTGCTAACCTCTGAGGGCAAGATGTTCCACAATGCAGGGGCAGAGGCGAAGAAGGCCCTCTTCTCAGACCCTGCCAGTCAAAATTGTTTGACTGACAGGGTCCGCAGCATGCCTTCCCTGCCTGAACGAGTGGAATGGGCTGATGTGATGGGGCGAAGCCGGGTCCGTAGTTAGCCTGGCCCTATGCTATGTAGGGTTTTAAGGAATGAAGGAGAAACTTCCTGACAGTGAGTACAATTGACCAGTGGAACAAAAGTTGCTCCCAGAAATCGTGGGCGCTCCATCACTGGAGCTCTTTAAGAAGAGGCTAGACAGTCACCTGTCTGAGATGGTATAGGTTCTGCTTGAGCAGGGGGATAGACTAGAAGACCTCCAAGGTCCCTTCCAGCTCTATTCTATCCTATCCTATCCTATCCTATCCTATCCTATTCCATTCCATTCCATTTTCTATTCTATTCTTTCCTGTTATTCTATTCTATTCTATTCTATTCTATTCTATTCTATTCTATTCTATTCTATTCTATTCTATTCTATATCGTGGGTGCTCCATCACTGGAGCTCTTTAAGAAGAGGCTAGACAGTCACCTGTCTGTGATGGTATAGGTTCTCCTGCTTGAGCAGGGGGATAGACTAGAAGACCTCCAAGGTCCCTTCCAGCTCTATCCTATCCTATCCTATTCCATTCCATTCCATTTTCTATTCTATTCTTTCCTGTTATTCTATTCTATTCTATTCTATTCTATTCTATTCTATTCTATTCTATTCTATTCTATATCGTGGGCGCTCCATCACTGGAGCTCTTTAAGAAGAGGCTAGACAGTCACCTGTCTGAGATGGTATAGGTTCTCCTGCTTGAGCAGGGGGGTGGACTAGAAGACCTCCAAGGTCCCTTCCAGCTCTATTCTATTCTAAAGCGCCTTCTTTCCACCTCCCTCACATTTCTCTGCCTCTGCACAGCTGGAGAGCTTGCCCCACCCACCACTGCACAGATGCCCTCGCTTGCTTCCCAAACCATTTCTTTTCTAGCCTTCTTTCTCCATCACTTCCTCCGCCGTCGTGTGCAATCCCGCAAACTACCTTCAGATTGACACCTCCCTCTATGTCTCTGAACAATGCTAGAAATAAGCTAATAAAAAAGGTGATTTTTTTTCAAATGCCTAATTTTTGGCTAGGCAGGCGCATTTTCAAACCAAACACTAGATGGCAGACTGCTACTATTTTTATTTTTCTAAGCCTGCCTTATGATTGGTATTTTGTCAGATTTCCATTCAAAATGTTAAAAAATATAAGAAAGGTAGCCGTAGCCCAGGGGTAGGCAACCTCGGCTCTTTTATGACTCATGGACTTCAACTCCCAGAATTCCTGAGCCAGCATAGCTGACTCAGGAATTCTGGGAGTTGAAGTCCATGAGTCATAAAAGAGCCGAGGTTGCCTACCCCTGCCGTAGCCCAATCAATAACATCTTTATTGCAAATGCAATTCGATAGAGATACTCCATTCCAGCAATTCAGGGTGATGTTTTCTTCACCAGTTTTGCTCAACTTGACCACTTTTAAGACGTGTGGACTTCAACTCCCAGAATTCCTCAGCCAGCCAACGCTGAGCAATTAAATTCCACTGATTTAAGGAATTTATTTTATATTGAGTAATGTAGCTTACTTTTGAGCAGCGATAAGATGCTGCAACTAAATATGCAACAAGACTGCAGTCTTATGTATATTTATTATATTAAGATCATTGAATCCGTGCGGCTGTTTATTCCTACTAAATAACCTTCAACTTGCAATAATTATCTCCGTCTAGAACAGGGATAGGCAATCTTGGCTCTTTTGACTCGTGGACTTCAACTCCCAGAATTCCTGAGCCAGCATGGGGGAACTATGGCCCCTTCATGACTTGTGGACTTCAACTCCCAGAATTCCTGAGTCAACATGGGGGAACTATGGCCCCTTTATGACTCGTGGACTTCAACTCCCAGAATTCCTGAGCCAGCATGGGGGAACTATGGCCCCTTCATGACTTGTGGACTTCAACTCCCAGAATTCCTGAGTCAACATGGGGGAACTATGGCCCCTTTATGACTTGTGGACTTCAACTCCCAGAATTCCTGAGCCAGCCATGCTGAGGGGAAAGGGAGAAGTTTCCAAGCTGAGCCATGCTGACTCAGGAATTCTGGGAGTTGAAGTCCACGAGTCACAAAAGAGCCAAGGTTGCCTAGCCCTGGTCTAGAACAAATAAGCCACTGCGCAGGCTCAAAGGTTTGACTTGTCAGCGCCTGCGCAGATGCTCAGACATCAAGCTCCATTTAAAAAAAAAAAATAGCGGGAGCCAAACGGTCANACTCCATGCTGGGCGCCATGTTCAGCGGGAAGATGCCCACCAAAAGAGACAGCCAAGGCCACTGCTTCATTGACCGAGACGGCAAAGTGTTCCGCTACATCCTCAACTTCTTGAGAACTTCTCACCTCGACCTTCCTGAGGACTTCCAAGAAATGGGCTTGCTTCGACGGGAAGCAGACTTTTACCAGGTCCAACCGCTTATTGAGGCTCTCCAGGAGAAGGAAGTGGAGCTCTCTAAAGCCGAGAAGAACGCGATGCTCAACATCACCTTGGATCAGAGGACACAAACCGTTCATTTCACCGTCCGGGAAGCTCCTCAGATCTACAGTTTGTCCTCTTGTAACATGGAAGTGTTCAGCGCTCACATCTTCAGCACCTCCAGTTTGTTCCTCAAAATTTTGGGTTCCAAACTTTACTACTGTTTCAATGGCAACCTGGCCTCCATCACTAGCTACTTGGAAGACCCCTATCATGTCACCTTGGACTGGGTGGCTAGTGTGGAAGGTCTACCCGAAGAAGAATACACCAGGCAGAACTTAAAGAAGTTGTGGGTCCTGCCCACCAAGAAGCAAATTAACAGTTTCCAGGTCTTTGTGGAGGAAGTGCTGAAGATCGCCATGAGCGATGGCTTTTGCGTGGACTCCTCTCATCCACACACGGCAGATTTTATGAATAATAAGATTATACGGCTGATTCGTTACAAATAGGCAGAGCTCCCTCGGCAGACGGCCGTCTATCGTCGCGACGCTGCGTCGTTGCGTCGTGTCACAAGCTACAGCCTGGAGCTGACTTTGCAAATCATGTTCTAATCCAGACCTGGGTTCTAACTGGAGGTCAGGCTAGTTTTTCACTTAAAAGACTAACCCAGATTTGCTAAATTTGCTAAATTCTGCAAACAGGAATGTGTTGGATTTTTGTGTGGGAATTACGTAGGCCTCTTGCCCCATAGAAATTGGTGATTCACCTTCAGGAGACATCATGAGGGAAACCTGCTGAGGGGTAGTCCTCAACTTATAACGATTCGCTTAGTGACCGTTCAAAGTTACAACAGCACTGGGGGAAAAAGTGACTTATGGCTGTTTTTCACACTTACGACTGTTGCAGCATCCCCGTGGTCACGTGATCAAAATTCAGACGCTTGGCAACTGACTCGTATTTATGACGGTCGCAGTGTCCCGGGGGTCACGTGATCTCCTTTTGCAACCTTCTGACTAGTAAAGTCAATGAGGAAGCTGGATTCACTTAACAGCCGTGTTTCTAATTTAGCGATTCACTTAACAACTGTAGCAAGAAAGGTCGTAAAATGGAGCGTTAAACAACTGCTTTGCTTAGCAACAGAAATGTTGGGCTCAGATATGGTCATAAGAATGCTGCCCGTATTCTTGTGTGCCCGTGTTAGGGCCAAGGTTGCATATGAAGCACCTGAATTTTGATTACGTGACCATAGGGATGCCGCAACCGTCGTGTGAAAAACGGTCACACGTCACTTTTTTCAGTGCCATTATAACTTTGAATGGTCACTAAATGAACTGTTATAAGTCGAGGACAGCCTATATCGGGCCTGAGTAGATCAGACTCCCGCTGATCGGTTTGAAGGCCAAAATATTGGCTTTGTTGCCCAGCAACACAATGTCTCCTCATCCCTCCTCAGGTAGCTTCCTCACATTAACAACAAAAAAAGTCACCCCAAAATCCCCCTCAGTCTTTTGTGTTCTTCACTTTTGGCACAAAATATCCCGCCAAAAAACCCTGTGATTTTCATTTAAGTTTGGGAAGGCTACTTAAAATCTGCAAAGGTTAGAGGTAGTCCTCAACTTACCACCATTTAGTGACCTTTCAAAGTTACAACGGCGCTGAAAAAAATGTGGCCAGGGCTCATATTTATGACCGCCACAGCCATCCCCACGGTAACATGATCAAAATTCATGCAATTGACGTGTATTTAGTTGCAGCATCGTATCCTCTCCATTTGTGCTCTTCCCGGTTGGGTTCTGGCAAGCAAAGTCAGTAGGGGAATTTGGATTCGCTTAGTGACCAGGTAATTCACTTAACGACTGCAGTAATTTGCTTCGAAACTGAATCGCTGCAGTTGTTCAGTGAATCCAAAAAGGTCATAAAATTGGGCCTCTTACTTATAAACTGCCTTGTTTAGTGACAGAAATTTGGGTAGTCTTAAGTTGACGACTACCTGACCTGGTTATTGCACTTTACTAGCAAATAAGCTATGGTTAAACACCTGAATACAAAGGTAGGCAACCAACAGGTTGTTGGGTTTTTGTGTGTCTGTGTGTGTTATTTACACTCAGTTGTGTAATTTACCTGCCAACCCCAAAACAGATTTCACCTCCATTTTTCCACAGCAATGTTTCTATCATTGGTTTAGCTCCCGGAGGTTAAAAATCAGATTCTGGTAGCCACTGAGGAGAAAAAATGTTCTCCAACATGGCTTCATGTTTGAACTAAGCCATGATCCAGATCCTGGGGAAACATTGCATGTTTCATGGGTGTTTTTAGCTTGCTGGATCAAAGGGCAAGATAGAGATAACCTCACACTAATTCTGAGGCTGTATCCCTGTTGGATTCAGTAACAATATGGAAATAATTTCCATTGTTTAGCTTCTCAACCTCCCATCTAATCAATAGCCTGAAATTCTCAGGTGGTCCTCTATCAAAGTAAAGGTCATCCTCGACTTACGACCACAACAGAACCCAAAATTTCTGTTGCTAAGTGAGACATTTCTTAAGTGAGATTTACCCCATAAAAAGCCATTTAATAACCTTTTTTGCCACGATTATTAAGTGAATCACTGCAGTTGTTAAATTAGTGACACGGTTGTTGAGTGAATCTGGCTTTTCCCCATGGACTTTGTTTGTCAGAAGGTCGCAAAAGGGGATCAAGCGACCCCAGGACACCGCAACTGTCATAAATACGAGTCAGTTGCCAAGCGTCTGACTTTGGATCACAGGACCAAGAGGACACTGCAATGGTTCTAAGTGTGAAAAACGGTCATAAGTCACATTTTTCAGTGCCGTTGTAACTTGGAACGGTCTCTAAACAAACTGTTGCAAGTAGAGGACTGTCTGTACTAACCAAGGTAGCCCTGCTAAGTGTTGAGATCAGCAAAGGTCAAGTCGATCAGGGTTTCTCAACCATGCCAACTTGAAGATGGGTGGACTTCAACTCCCAGAATTCCCCAGCCAGCATGGCTGGCTGGTGAATTCTGGGAATTGAAGTCCACCCGTCTTCAACTTGCCAAGTTGACAAACACTGAGTTAAATGATGTTCAGAAGTTCAGAAGACCAACTTTTGAAATCTTTTCTACTAAATCTTTTCACTGTGGTGACCCCACCAACCTATCCTTCCATCAGTTATAGCTGTATTTATTTATGATTGCCAGTGGATTACGGAATGAAATGCGGCACTACCAATGGCAGCAAAACTAAATGATTTTCCAACTAAACACGTAGCATCTTGTAATTTATTCATCCTTATGGAGGCTGGTCCAGCTATGTTCTTCCTTTTGTTTTGCTTTTCCCTTGCGTGTCGCGTCACGTTGAAGCACTTCAAGCCAACGTGGCAATCCAGGTGTAAGAATTCGCCTTCTCAGTTATTCAACTCATACTTCGTTGGGAAGAATCCAGACCACGCTGGATTTTTATTTTTGTGCCTTCAAGTCAGTTTTGACTCGTGGCGAAAACTGTCCTTGCCGTTTTCTTGGCAAGATTTTTCAGAAATGGTTTGCCATTGCTTCCTTTCTTTGGCTGAGATAGAGTGACTGGCCCAAGGTCACCCAGTTGGCTTTCATGCCTAAGGCAGGACTAGAACTCACCATCTCCTGGTGATTGGTTTAAAGTTATCCAACTGGCTTTCATGCCTAAGGCGGGACTAGAACTCACAATCGCCTGTTGATTGGCCCAAAGTTATCTAGCTGGTTTTCGTGCCTGAGATAAGACTAGAACTCACAATCGCCCGTGGATTGACCCAAAGTCGCCCAGCTGGCTTTCATGCCTAAAGCGGAACTAGAACTCACAGTCTTCTGATGATTGGCCCAAAGTCACCCAATCAGCTTTCGTTCTTAAGGCAGAACTAAAACTCACCATCTCCTGGTGATTGGTTTAAAGTTATCCAACTGGCTTTCATGCCTAAGGCGGGACTAGAATTCACAGTCGCCTGTTGATTGGTCCAAAGTTATCTAGCTGGCTTTCGGGCCTAAGGCAGGACTAGAACTCACAATCACCTGTTGTTTGGCCCAAAATCACCCAGCTGGCTTTCATGCCTAAAGCAGGACTAGAATTCACAGTCTTCTGGTGATTGACCGAAAGTCACCCAATCAGCTTTCAGGCTTAAGGCAGAACTAACTCTCACCATCTCCTGGTGATTGGCCCAGAGTTACACAACCGGCTTTTGTCCCTAAAACGAGACTAGAACTCACTGTCTCCTGGTGATTGGCCCAAAGTAAACCAGCCAGCTTTCATGCCTAACTAGAACTCACTGTCTCCCAGTTTCTAGCCTGATGCCCTTATTGCTATAATAAACAGAATTATTACCCCTGGAAATTTCCTTACGGCTGTAGAATTTCCACATTTTAAGTGGTGATTTTCCAGTACTTAAATATGTTGCATATTTTTAACAAAATAAAGGTAAAGAGGCCTTCAAGTTGAGGCCTTCAGGTTGAGCTTGGCTCCTGGAGAGGACATCTATGGAGTTTTCCAGGGTTGTGGAAGTGCCTGATTTCCTTAGAAAGATTTTCTTACTTCCAGGTTTTACCAACAGGTCGTTCTTAACTTCCCAGGGTTTAGCTACTAAGAGAGTTGGATTAATTCTTACAAGTAATTCTCCAGTTACGACCACAATTGAGCCCAAAATTTCTGTTGTTAAGTGAGACAGATATTAAATGAGTTTTGACCCATTTTACAACTTTCCTTGCCACCGTTGTTAAGTGAATCACTGCAGTTTTTAAGTTGTTAAGCGAGACATGTTAAGTGAGTTTTGACCCATTTTACAACTTTCCTTGCCACCGTTGTTAAGTGAATCACTGCAGTTGTTGAATTAGTAACATGGTTGTTAAGTGAATCTGGCTTCCCCCATTGACTTTGCTTGTCAGAAGGTCGCAAAAGGGGATCACGTGACCCCTGGACGCTGCAACCGTCATAAGTACATGCCAGTTGCCAAGCCTCTGAATTTTGATCATGTGACCCCGGGGAGGCTGCAACGGTCATAATGTGAAAAATGGTCATAAAACGCTTTTTTAAATGCCATTGTAACTTTGGTCATTAAACAAATGGTTCTTAAGTCAAGGACTACCTGTATTTTTTTTTCAGAATATGCTAATTTACACAACTATTCCTGAGGCTCCAAGAGCAATGGAGCCTTTTGTCTTTCATTCTGTGCCGAAACTTGGGAAATCCCAACACACAAACACCTCAGATAGGTTTAATTTTCCACTGCCCGGCAAATAATGTTGCCTCTGTAACAGCATTCCGAAATTAAATAAAAATGTAATTCAACTTTGTAAGTGGTTGAAGCCTTTTAGCTAACTCTGAAATCTCAGAATCACCAAGTTGAATTATCACAAGATTTAATCATTACACATGGTTCCAAGAAGTCTTTTTATTACTGGCACCTGTGGAGTGCCTGCTAAAATGCTTTGGTTTAGCAAATGTCTATGGAGGTTCTCCATCATCCAGGTCCTGGTTGTCCCAAAGGTGCCCACCCCCCAAAATCAAGCTAGGGCTTATTGTTGGTGTAGGCCTTACTTTCGGGGATACACGGAATAATCAAAATAAAGTTAAACATTAAAAGCGGAATGATTTAGGATTAACACGTTTTAAATGCTTGATAAAATTACAGAATTGGAGGCTTTGCTAACCTCTGAGGGCAAGATGTTCCACAATGCAGGGGCAGGGGCAAACAAGGCCCTCTTCCCAGACCCTGCCAGTCAAAGATTTTGACTGACGGGGTCCGCAGCATGCCTTCCCTGCCTGAACGAGTGGGACGGGCTGATGTGATGGGGCGAAGCCGGTTCTGTAGGTAGCCTGACCCTATGCTATGTAGGCTTTTAAGGAATGAAGGAGAAACTTCCTGACAGTGAGGACAATTGACCAGTGGAACAGAAGTTGCCTCCAGAAATCGTGGGCACTCCATCACTGGAGCTCTTTAAGAAGAAGCTAGACATTCACCTGTCTGAGATGGTATAGCTTCTGCTTGAGCAGGGGGATGGACTAGACCAGGGCTTTTCAACCAGTGGTACGGGAACCACCTGTGGTACATTGGCACCTGGCAGGTGGTACGCGACCATCCTAGAAAAGTGGTAGCGGGGGAGGGGAATGAGCTGAACCGGTGGCAGCACCGCACAAGCCTGAGTGAGAGATGGCTGGAGCTGCAGGGCTGTCAGGGCTCAGTGGAAGCACCAGGATCAGCACCAGGCTCCAACTGGAGCTCGGCGCTGATTCTGGTGCTTCTGCTGAGCCCAGAAGAAGCGCCGATCAGCTGGAATGTTGCAGCCTCTCCAGGGTCTTGTGATTTATATTCAGATACTTGGCAACTGATTCATATTTATGACGGTCACAGTGTCCCGGTCATGTGAAGTGACCAAAACCTGCTGCAACTACCCAGCAGATTGGGGGGGGGAATAAAAACCAAACACCCCCCACCCCACGCCCGCTGCCAATCCTCAACAGAAATGCTCACAACAATGAAAACCTCGGACAGGAGGAAGAGTGCCGCTGGGCAGGCAGGTGTCTTGCTCGGCTGTGGCTTGGGGGGCACTTTTTTCAGTACCATTGTAACTTCGAACAGTCACTAAGCAAACTGTTGTAAGTCGAGGACTACCTGTACTTTATCACTTTTTCCCTCTTTTTGGGGGGCGGGTCATCAAGTTTTTGACATCTTGCTAGGTGACTGGTGGTACTCAGATGTTGCCATATCCTAAAAGTGATACAATGGGTGAAAAGGTTGAAAAGCCCTGGACTAGAAGACCTCCAAGGTCCCTTCCAGCTCTATTCTATTCTATTCCATTCCATTCTATTTTCTATTCTATTCTTTCCTGTTATTCTATTTTATTCTATTCTATTTTATTCTATATCATGGGTGCTCCATTACTGGAGCTCTTTAAGAAGAGGCTAGACAGTCACCTGTCTGAGATGGTGTAGGTTCTCCTGCTTGAGCAGGGGGATGGACTAGAAGATCTCCAAGGTCCCTTCCAGCTCTATTCTATTCTAAAGCGCCTTCTCACCACCTCCCTCACATTTCTCTGCCTCTGCACAGCTGGAGAGCTTGCTTCCCAAACCATTTCTTTTCTAGCCTTCTTTCTCCATCACTTCCTCCGCCGTCATGTGCAATCCCGCAAACTACCTTCAGATTGACACCTCCCTCTATGAACAATGCTAGAAATAAGCTAATAAAAAGGTGGGTGTTTTTTTTTCAAATGCCTGATTTTTGGCTAGGCAGGCGCATTTTCAAACCAAACACTAGATGGCAGACTGCTACCATTTTTATTTTTCTAATCCTGCTTTAAGATTGGTAATTTGTCAGATTTCCATTCAAAATGTTTAAAAATATAAGAAACTAGGTAGCCCAATCAATAACATTGCAAATGCAATTCGATAGAGATACTCCATTCCAGCAATTCAGGGTGATGTTTTCTTCATCAGTTTTGCTCAACTTGACCACTTTTAAGACGTGTGGACTTCAACTCCCAGAATTCCTCAGCCAGCCAACGCTGAGCAATTAAATCCCATTGATTTAAGGAATTTATTTTATATTGAGTAATGTAGCTCACTTTTGAGCAGCGATAAGATGCTGCGACTAAAGTGTTCCAATATCTCAGGGGCTGCCATAAAGAAGAGGGAGTCAAGCTATTCTTCAAAGCGTCTGAAGGCAGGACAAGAAGGAACGGATGGAAACTAATCAAGGAGAGAAGCAACCTAGAACAGTGGTTCTCAACCTTTTTAATGCCGCGACCCCAACCGGTCGTAAGTCGAGGACTAAACCGGTCATAAGTCGAGGACTAAGCCGGTCGTAAGTCGAGGACTAAACCGGTCGTACGTCAAGGACTACCCAACCGGTCGCAAGTCGAGGACTTTCCCTGCCCGGGAGCACTGCGCATGCGTGGTTCTGCCCCCTGCGCCGGCCGAGGCGTAGCTGGCAAGCGGCAGAGACGGAGCAGGCTAGCCACCAGCTGGCCCAGCCCAAGGGAGGTAAGGCACCCGCCGGAAAAGGGGGAAAAAATGGTGGACAAAAAAAATGGTGGACAAAAAAAACGGCGGACAGCCTTGCTTGGCGACCCGCATGAAATGGTCGATCGACCCCAAATGGGGTCCCGACCCACAGGTTGAGAACCACTGACCTAGAACTAAGGAGAAACTTCCTGACAGTGAGGACAATTAACCAGTGGAACAACCTGCCTCCAGAAGCTGTGAATGCTCCAACATTGGAAGTTTTTAAGAAGAGATTGGACAGCCATTTATCCGAAATGGTATAGGGTTTCTTGCCTGAGCAGGGGGTTGGACTAGATGACCTTCAAGGTCCCTTCCAACTTTACTATTATTATTAATATTATTAATATTATTAATATTATTAATATTATTAATATTATTAATATTATTAATATTATTATTATTATTAAATATGCAACAAGACTGCAGTTTTATGTATATTTACTACATCAAGATCATTGAATTCATGCGGCCGTTTATTTAGACTAAATAACCTCCAACTTGCAATAATTATCTCCGTCTAGAACAGACATAAGCAACCTTGGCTCTTTTGACTCGTGGACTTCAACTCCCAGAATTCCTGAGCCAGCCATGCTGAGGGGAAAGAGAATTTCCAAGCTGAGCCATGCTGACTCAGGAATTCTGGGAGTTGAAGTCCACGAGTCACAAAAGAGCCAAGGTTGCCTAGCCCTGGTCTAGAACAAATAAGCCACTGCGCAGGCTCAAAGGTTTGACTTGTCAGCGCCTGCGCAGATGCTCAGACATCAAGCTCCATTTAAAAAAAAAAAATAGCGGGAGCCAAACGGTCAGTGTTTGGAGCATGCGCAGTGGTGCCCTTCCGTCCCGCCTGCGGGAAAAGAGCGGGCTGTTATGGCGGCGCGCCGAGCTTGGTGCGGAGGAAGGGGCTCCTTTCTGGCTTTGGCCTTCGGCGTGACATTTCTGAAAATGCTCCTCATTCCGACATAGTAAGAGATCCGGATTCGTTATTTGTCTTTCGGCTGATTAAAAAGGCGCGCGGAGGCGGTGGGGGGAGGCGGAAGGTTCAATCGCCGCCATTGTAGATTCGGCTGTTCCCAGGGAGTTTCCCCCCCCGCCCTCCGCTGATAGTGCCCTTTCTGTGGCTGTTCCCGTGGCTGTCCTCCTCCCTCCGTGCTCTTCTTTGCTACCCTTCCAAGCTCCGCTGATCTATAGTCGGTGCGAGCCATGGTGGCTGGGGATGATGGAGGTTGTAGTGTTAACACTTCAAGGGGGAGTTGGAAAACAGGCAGTCCTCGGACTTACCACCACAACGGAGCCCAACATTTTTTGTTGCTAAGTGAAACATTGGTTTAAGTGAGTTTTGCCCCGTTTTACGACGTTTCGTGCCACGGTTGCTAAGCGAATCACTGCAGTTAAGTTAGCAACACCGTCGCTAAGTGAATCTGGCTCCCCCCATTGACTTTGTCAGAAGGTCGCAAAAGGGGATCACGTGACCCCGGGAGGCTGCAACCGTCATAAGTACGAGTCAGTTTCACCTGCAAAGGTCGTAAGTGTGAAAGAGGGTCCTAAGTCCCTTTTTTCCAGGGCCGTTGTAACTTTGAACGGTCACTAAATAAACTGTTGTAACTCGAGGGCTAAGCTGTATTACAAAATACAGTAGTGGCCAAAATTGTGGAAACCTTTTGGGAAAAGTGTATTTTTTGAGGTTTGATGGCTAATAACACCACCTCTTTTTCCATAAATGGAAAGATAATTTAATCAAGAATGTAATGCAACACAGTTTGTTCAATTATCTGGACTGCATTCTATGAAAGGTTAAAGCCAAATAACCAGAAAAATGAAGCACAACTTGCTTAGGTTGATCTCAGGTAGCTTTCCTTCCTCTGATGGTAGCCAATGAGCACGAGTGTTTAGAGAGCCAATCGGGCATCATCTTGTTTTGGCAATGAGCCAATCAGATCACAGTAGGATCCAGTTATTGATGTCATGTATTGAAGCCGAGAGGAGGACATTTGTCAGTGTGTTATTTGATCGCTATCCACTTGGTTGGGTTTTTTTGTGTTCTTTAATTTAGTGAGCTTGTAAAACGTCATAAAATTAAAGTCATGGTGCATAGAGTTGACTGGTGGCCCAGAAAGCGATGTAAAATACGTATTATTAAGTGAACAAGGCTACAGTTATAAAGACATTAGAAAAAAACTGGGTGGAAACTTAACCAAAGGTGGCATTTCTACTGTACACTTTTCCCAAAAGGTTTCCACAGTTTTGGCCACTCCTGTAGTTAACCTGACTAGTCTTTGTTTTATTGCTCAATAAAGTGGAAAACAAACTGGATGTGGAGAAACCTCTCTCTGGATACTAATGGTTAACTCCTTGTAGTCATTCCACAGATTTTGAAGTGCACAGGAATTGGCTTGCCATTACTCACAGCCTACCAGCCTCTCGGTGGTATTACGAGGTGAGTATCTTATCCTTTCATTGCATGAAATGTCCTTGGTTTGTAGAGCAGTGACTTGGCTTGGCTTGTCAGAAAGTCACAAAACCGTCATAAATACGAGTCAAGTTGCCAAGCGTCCGAATATTGACCGTGAGGATGCTGCAGTGGCTGTTAAGTGTGAAAAACTGTCATGAGACACTTTTTTCAGTGCCGCTGTATCTTCGGTCACTAAACAGACGGTTGTAAATTGAGGACTAGCTGTCTTTTCCTCCAAAATGGGGTGCTATTAGGAACTGTGCTCATGATACGGTTTCTGAATCTATCGAGAGAGATTGTTTAATTAGAAAGTTTGCTTGTTGTCGCCGGAAGCTGAACAAACCTCCCAAGCAGGCAATTGCAGTCTCTTTTGCCTGTCCTGTCAGCCTTCCTAGATTAAAAAAAAGTGAAGGTCTCTGACTGGTTTAGCCCAGCCAACTGATCCAGATCGTTCCCCTTTGCACAAACGAGAATAGCAACGACAGGCCGGCTTGCAATGGTTTGGGTAAGTCCCACTTTTAAACAGATTCCGGGCAATTCTTCCAATTCCTTGAATTCTGGGATTATTTTTTTTTAAAGGGAGTTTGCTAACTAATGTCATTTTAAAAGCTTCTTTGCTTTTTTGCAGCCTTTCCCCCCCCTTTTTTTTTTTTTAGATTGTTATCTTTTATTGTTGTAATCAATCATTGCGACTGAGAGCCGTTTTGGTCTAGTGCAGTGTTTCTCAACCTTGACAATTTTAAGGCATGTGGACTTCAACTCCCAGAATTCCACAGCCAGCAATGCTGGCTGTGGAATTCTGGGAGTTGAAGTCCACATGCCTTAAAATTGTCAAGGTTGAGAAACACTGGTCTAGTGGTTAAGGCATCAGGTTAGGAAACGGGAGTCTGGGAGTTCTAGGCCCACTTTAGGCGTGAAAGCTGGTTGGGTGACTTGAGCCAATCACCAGGAGATTGTGAGTTCTAGTTCTGCCTTAGGCATGAAAGCCGGTTGGGTGATTTTGGGCCAATCACCAGGAGACGGTGAGTTCTAGTTCCGCCTTAGGCATGAAAGTTGGCTGGCTGGCTTTGGGCCAATCACCAGGAGACTGTAAGTTCTAGTCCCGCCTTAGGCATGAACACTGGCTGGGTGACTTTGAGCCAATCACCAGAAGACTATGAGTTCTAGTCCCGCCTTAAGCATGAAAAATAAACTGAGTGACTTTGGGCCAATCACCAGGAGACAGTTCTAGTCCCGCCTTAGGCATGAACACTGACTGGGTGATTTTGGGCCAATCACCAGAAGACAATGAGTTTTAGTCCCACCTTAGGCATGAAAAACTGAGTGACTTTGGGCCAATCACCAAGAGACTGTCAGTTCTAGTCCCGCCTTAGGCATGAACACTGACTGGGTGATTTTGGGCCAATCACCAGAAGACTATGAGTTCTAGTCCCACTTTAGGCATGAAAAACTGAGTGACTGGGCCAATCACCAAGAGACTGTCAGTTCTAGTCCCGCCTTAGGCATGAACACTGACTGGGTGATTTTGGGCCAATCACCAGAAGACTATGAGTTCTAGTCCTGCCTTAGGCATGAAAAACAAACTGAGTGACTCTGGGCCAATGACCAAGAGACCGTGAGTTCGAGTCCCGCTTTACGCGTGAAACATTGGCTGGGTGACTTTGGGTCAATCACCAAGAGACTATGAGTTCTAGTCCCACCTTAGGCATGAAAGCCAGTTGGGTAACTCTGGGCCAATCGCCAGAAGACTATGAGTTCCATTCCCGCCTTAGGCATGAGAAACAGACTGAGTGACTTTGGGCCAATCGCCAAGAGACTTGTCAGTTCTAGTCCCACCTTAGGCACGAAAGCCAGTTGGGTGACTTTGGGCCAGTCACTCTCACAGGGTTGTCATTGTGGGGAAAGCAAGAGGAGGAAGAAATATTCGGTATCGTCGCTGCCTTCAGTTGCCGGACTCTAGGATTTTGTGACCTGGAGAGGATAACTAAAGTTTGAAATGTACCATCGACAGACGCCCTCTTCCTGTAGATTCTTATTGCTTATTGTTTTGTTTCTTAATTTCAGGCAACGTCTGAGTGGACCTTGGATTACCCTCCTTTTTTTGCCTGGTTCGAGCGTATGCTTTCCTACGCTGCCGTCTACTTTGACAAAGAGATGCTGTCCGTTCAGAACCTCAACCATTCCAGCCAAATGACCGTTCTTTTCCAAAGGCTCTCGGTGATCGCTACGGACACGCTCTACATCTATGCTGTGTACCAGTAGGTGGTTGTGTCTTTATTTGAGGGGGCCTAGGCCTGGAGGAAAGGGGATGAGAGAGCACTGATGGTGACTATCCTGGTCTTTACCTGATATTTCCCAAAATACGGGTCGTCCTCGACTTACGAACATAATTGAGCCCAAAGTTTCCGTTGCTAAGTTGTTAGGTGAATTTTGCCCCATTTTACCATTTTTCTTGCCCCGATTATTAAGTGAATCGTTAAGTTAGGAAGACGGTCATTAAACGAATCTGGCTTTCCCCCCCTTGACTTTGCTTGTCAGAAAGTCGCAAAAGGGGATCACATGCAACTGTCATAAGTACATGCCAGTTGCCAGGCATCTGAATTTTGATCAAGTGACCCTGGGAATGCTGCAATGGCCGTAAGTGTAAAACAAAGGTCATGTCACTTTTTTCACTATTGTAACCTTGAACAGTGGCTAAACAAATGGTCGTAAATTGAGGACTATCTGTAATTGGGAAGATGGAAGGAACGTAGGTATTTTTGCTCGATAAACTGTACCTGTCCCGTAAGAGGCATGCATGCGAGATTTGTGGGTCTTGATTTTCTTGTTCCAGATGCTGCAATTGTGTGAGTGGGAAGCAAGGTGGAAAAGACCCATTGGAAAGCCCGCCGTTTGTTCTTTCTGTCCTTCTGCTGTGGAATTTTGGTCTCTTAATTGTAGATCGTATCCTTGCCTTCTGGTTGCTTCTGAAGTGACTGATGCATTAACCAAATATCCCAGGAGGGGCAAGAAACAACTTTGGTGTACGTTTTGATCGTTTGAATCTATTAGGGTTTGATTTTTTAGAACAAGGCAGAATTGTATTTAAATTGGAAAAGCCTCATGGCTTAGAGTAATTTTTCTAAAGCAGATGGACTTCCTTAAATCAATCTCAGATATTCACTTTCAATACAACGGTTTCCTGTTCGGATTCCTGCTGCTTTCTATTGCACGATTATTCCAGGTAGTGTATAGTCCTTCCCTCCACTCTCCCTCTCTCACCCCTCCCTTTCTTTACACATACGTACATACATATAATATACATATAATATACATATAATATACATATAGAGATTAGATAGATAGATAGATACATAGATACATAGATAGATACATAGATAGATAGATAGATAGATAGATAGATAGATAGATAGATAGATAGATAGATAGATAGATAGATAGATAGATGGATAGAGCTGAAGAAGCTTCTTGGACGAGAAGCGAAACGTCTTCAAAGAAAACAGATATATAGAGATAAGAGACAGACAGACAGACAGATAGATAGATAGATAGATAGATAAAATAGTTTTGAAGATACGAGTCTCGGGTATATTCATATTCAAAAACTAAAACACAGATCACCGAGACCAAGGAATTTATTTAAAAACTTAGCTTTCGTCAGCAGCGAAACCTGATTCTCAATCCTGGCTAGAACTCTGACGATGTCAGCAGTCGCTGACGAAAACTAAGTTTTTAAATAAATTCCTTGGTCTTGGTGATCTGTGTTTTAGTTTTTGAATAGATATAGATATACATATAGATATACATATAGATATACATATGGATAGATGGATGGATAGATAGATAAAATAGTTTTGAAGATACGAGTCTCGGGTATATTCATATTCAAAAACTAAAACACAGATCACTAAGACCAAGGAATTTATTGAAAAATTAGCTTTCGTCAGCAGCGAAACCTGATTCTCAATCCTGGCTAGAACTCTGACGATGTCAGCAGTCGCTGACAAAAACTAAGTTTTTAAATAAATTCCTTGGTCTTGGTGATCTGTGTTTTAGTTTTTGAATAGATAGATAGATAGATAGATAGATAGATAGATAGATAGATAGATAGATAGATAGATAGATAGATAGATAGATAGATAGATACGAGAGATACGAGAGATACGAGAGATACGAGAGATACGAGAGATCTATATATATATCTATATATATGGATATAGATAGATGTATAGCATACATACATTATATATGCACACATACACATATATACACATACATACTCTTTTACTTCTTCCTCTTCCTATTGTCTCCACAACAACCACCCTGTGAGGTGGGCTGGGTTGAGAGAGAAAGGAAGTGGCCTAAGGCAGGACTAGAACTTACCGTCTCCTAGTNTCCCCTCCCCCCTCCCTCCCCCCCCCCAACTTCCCAGAGCCAATCACAGGGTTAACAATACAATAACCATACTCTGTCTAACATTAATCACTATTAGATTAACAAATCTATAACATCCTTTAACTCTCTTTTAAACAGACATATTAAACACAATAATTGTAACATCTTATTGCTAATTATAGATAAAAAATAAACTACATTAACACTCTATAGTTTACTCAAAAAAACAAATGAAACTTTTTAGTTCCATATTTACTCTCAATATCATCTATCCATCTTCTCCAAACCAAAATATATCTTTCTTGTGAATAATCCTTCACATAGGCAAAAATCTTAGCCATTTCTGCTGAATTTGAAACTTTGAATACCCAATCTTCTATAGTGGGCAAACGTTCCGTTTTCCAACATTGAGCTACTAGTAACCTTGCAGCAGTTATCAAATTCAACATCAAATCCATTTCTTTTTTATCCAGATCTTCCATAATACCCAGCAAAAATATCTGCGGCTTAAACTTTTATCTTTTTCTTCAAAATATTTTGAATATTCCACCATATCTTTATCCAGAATGCTTTTACCCCCCTGCATGTCCACCACATATGGAAATAAGTTGCGTCTAAGTTTCCACATCTCCAACACTTGGGTTGTAGATTAGGATACATGCAGGACAATTTTTGAGGATCCAAATGCCACCTCCTCTTCCTGTAGATTCTTATTGCTTATTGTTTTGTTTTTTAATTTCAGGCAACTTCTGAGTGGACCTTGGATTACCCTCCTTTTTTTGCCTGGTTCGAGCGTATGCTTTCCTACGCTGCCGTCTACTTTGACAAAGAGATGCTGTCCGTTCAGAACCTCAACCATTCCAGCCAAATGACCGTTCTTTTCCAAAGGCTCTCGGTGATCGCTACGGACACGCTCTACATCTATGCTGTGTACCAGTAGGTGGTTGTGTCTTTATTGGAGGGGGCCTAGGCCTGGAGGAAAGGGGATGAGAGAGCACTGATGGTGACTATCCTGGTCTTTACCTGATATTTCCCAAAATACAGGTCGTCCTCGACTTACGAACATAATTGAGCCCAAAGTTTCCGTTGCTAAGTTGTTAGGTGAATTTTGCCCCATTTTACCATTTTTCTTGCCCCGATTATTAAGTGAATCGTTAAGTTAGGAAGACGGTCATTAAACGAATCTGGCTTCCCCCCTTGACTTTGCTTGTCAGAAGGTCGCAAAACGGGATCACATGCAACTGTCATAAGTACATGCCAGTTGCCAGGCATCTGAATTTTGATCAAGTGACCCTGGGAATGCTGCAATGGCCGTAAGTGTAAAACAAAGGTCATGTCACTTTTTTCACTATCGTAACCTTGGAACAGTGGCTAAAGAAATGGTCGTAAATTGAGGACTATGTGTAATTGGGAAGATGGAAGGAACGTAGGTATTTTTGCTCAATAAACCATACCTGTCCCGTAAGAGGCATGCATGCGAGATTTGTGGGTCTTGATTTTCTTGTTCCAGATGCTGCAATTGTGTGAGCGGGAAGCAAGGTGGAAAAGACCCACTGGAAAGCCCGCCGTTTGTTCTTTCTGTCCTTCTGCTGTGGAATTTTGGTCTCTTAATTGTAGATCGTATCCTTGCCTTCGAGTAGCTTCTGAAGATATAAGGTTGCTGGAATTGGGTATGTCTAGTTTAACGAAGAGAAGGATTATGGGTGACATGATAGCAGTGTTGCAATATCTCAGGGGCTGCCCCAAAGAAGAGGCAGTCAAGCTGTTCTCCAAAGCACCTGAAGGCAGGACGAGAAGCAACGGATGGAAACTAACCAAAGAGAGAAGCAACCTAGAACTAAGGAGAAACTTCCTGACAGTTAGAACAATTAACCAGTGGAACAACCTGCCTCCAGAAGCGGTGAATGCTCCAACACTGGATGTTTTTAAGAAGAGACTGGACAGCCACTTGTCTGAAATGGTATAGGGTCTCCTGCTTGAGCAGGGGGTTGGACTAGATGACCTCCAAGGTCCCTTCCAACTCTGTTATTCTGTTATTTGTCTTTCTGCTAAAGGAGGACGCTGTGAAAACCTCAAGGAATACCCTCTCACCCCATAGGGCAGGTTTGGGGTGTAAGTCCCAGTACTTTAGGCCAGGTGCAAAAAGAATTTGAAAAGAAATAATAGCAATAACTTTCTGTAAAGTCACCAGGAAGCCAAATAGGATAGGTTTCCTACCTGATCAGGGGGTTGGACTAGATGACCTCCAAGGTCCCTTCCAACTTTATTATTATTCTTGATACTGATGCATTAACCAAATATCCCAGGAGGGGCGAGAAACAACTTTGGTGTACGTTTTGATGGATTGAATCTATTAGGGTTTGATTTTTTAGAACTAGGCAGAATTGTATTTAAATTGGAAAAGCCTCTTGGCTTAGAGTAATTTTTCTAAAGCAGATGGACTTCCTTAAATCAATCTCAGATATTCACTTTCAATACAATGGTTTCCTGTTCGGATTCCTGCTGCTTTCTATTGCACGATTATTCCAGGTAGTGTATAGTCCTTCCCTCCACTCTCCCTCTCTCACCCCTCCCTTTCTTTACACATACGTACATACATATAATATACATATAATATACATAGATAGATAGATAGATAGATAGATAGATAGATAGATAGATAGATAGATAGATAGATGTGGATAGATGGATAGAGCTGAAGAAGCTTCTTGGACGAGAAGCGAAACGTCTTCAAAGAAAACATATATAGAGATAAGAGATAGACAGACAGACAGACAGATAGATAGATAGATAGATAAAATAGTTTTGAAGATACGAGTCTCGGGTATATTCATATTCAAAAACTAAAACACAGATCACCGAGACCAAGGAATTTATTTAAAAACTTAGCTTTCGTCAGCAGCGAAACCTGATTCTCAATCCTGGCTAGAACTCTGACGATGTCAGCAGTCGCTGACAAAAACTAAGTTTTTAAATAAATTCCTTGGTCTTGGTGATCTGTGTTTTAGTTTTTGAATAGATAGAGATAGATATACATATAGGTATACATATAGATATACATATGGATGGATAGATAGATAAAATAGTTTTGAAGATACGAGTCTCGGGTATATTCATATTCAAAAACTAAAACACAGATCACTGAGACCAAGGAATTTATTGAAAAATTAGCTTTCGTCAGCAGCGAAACATAGATAGATAGATAGATAGATAGATAGATAGATCTATATATCTATATATCTATATATCTATATATATGGATATAGATAGATGTATAGCATACATACATTATATATGCACACATACACATATATACACATACATACTCTTTTACTTCTTCCTCTTCCTATTGTCTCCACAACAACCACCCTGTGAGGTGGGCTGGGTTGAGAGAGAAAGGAAGTGGCCTAAGGCAGGACTAGAACTTACCGTCTCCTAGT